GATAATGTTAGTTTTTATTGAGGAGGGTAGTTGTCAATCACTTTCTGTCGAGAAAAAGATTTATTTTAGAACATTTTCCATTCAACAAGAAGCAAGTGCAGTACTGTTCCACAAGCTGCCACATACAGCATTTATCAGACCTCAGAGCAGTTTTAGATATAAGGAAGATTCTGTAGTTTTCTGTTGCTTTGAATTGTGTGTACAGAGCTTATTAACTCAGACTCCTGAGAAACCATTTTCCCTGTTTGGATGCCATAGTTGACGAATCAGTCTTGACTACTGCTGCGCTTGTAATCACTCTCATTTTTTTCAGGGATCTCTCCTCTAGCTGCTTAAGGTAACAAAAGCTTCCTAAAACTTCTTAAAACTTTAAAAGCCAGCTAAGGAGAGTATTTTTAAGACTGTAGCAGGATATTGGGAGAAGGTTATAGTCATTATATGTGGTCGTTTTTCAAAAAGGAAAAAGGTCTTTGTCCTACCTAAATCTGAAGACAATCAGCACGTGCCTGAGAGATCATGTGGGGGATTCATGTTTTCTGATATGGGGAGAAGTTACTTTGGGTGACAGTTACAGAGGCTTAGAACTTCCTGTGTGCAAAATTACTCCTGCAAAAACATGTCTATAGTGCCTACTGCGGTAGTGTGCAGCCCTTAGAACCGCTAGAGCATGTGTGTTGAGCATGCAGGCTGCCATGTGGCAGATTCCGATGGGCCTATGGCAGTAACGGGCTGAGGGCAGCACACTTCTTGTCCAATATCCGCTCTGGATAGGGAACTTGGAGTGCGGCTGTATTCCAGTTCTGAGCACAGAGATGTCATGATTTTGGATGCGCAGGGCATCGCCTTCCTTGGAAACTCTGAGACTGAAATCTGAAGGGTGGGAACTTGCTCTGTTTGCAGCTTGCAAATGGTTTGACGGGGACTTCCAAGGCATGTTTGATTAGACTTTTCTTGAAAAGAGTCTTGTAAGTGGACTCTGGGTGCATCAAAACCAGGAAGTCTGGATAATGTGCTTTGAATTTTTCAAGACCCATATTGGGGAAATAGAAATTGCTGAAATGATTGACGTAAGTGTTCATTTTCATGAGCTTTTTTCATTACTTGATACTTTAGCTCTATCAAAGGTGACCTGTGTAGGAGGACCTCATCACACTGGACCTGCTTATTCATCTGTATTGCCCTACTGGTTGGGGAAAATAGCTCTGCTCTGAGATTTAAAACTTGTAGTGTGTTTGAACTGTATGGGGATCCAAGAGGTTGTTATATAAAGTTCTGGGTCTGTGTTGGTGTGGTGGTTTTTTTTTTCTCGTTGTTTTGGTGGTTTTTTTTTGTGGAAGGGAGGGAATGACAAGTGCAACAAAACCATTCTGAGTTGGGAAATTTAGTTCAATTTACTTTATTTCCAATGAAGATGAAGACAGACAAACACAGAAAACATACCTCACCTTCCCTGTGGACACCTCTCCAACTCCCTCCTGTCACCACAGGTGGCACTCAGAAGATCAGGAGATGGTGGTCAGTGCTTGTAGTGCTTGTGGTGGGTCCTTTTTTTTTTTTTTTTTTTGTGTGTGTGGTGGTTCAATTTCTTTTGTTTGGCTTTTTTTTTAAAAAAGAAATCAATTCCTCCATTGGTTATGGTTCCCACAGCTGTCTACTGCTGTCTGGGCAGCCTTTTGCTCCAGCCCCTGCTCAGGTATAATCTTCTGTGAATCTTTTTTTTTTCTCCAGTCCAAATGCTGGTCTACTCTTGCCTCTGCACAGAGTATTCCTTGACCTCATCCCACACAGTGCAGCTCCCTCCCTACCACAACTGTTTAGCTCAGAATGCAGGGGAAAGGAAGGGAGGGTGTAATTAAAAAAAGAAAAATTAGCATCATTAACACACCATGAGGGGAGGCAATTAGGTATCAACTAGTGTTGCCAAGGTGCATACCTTCTTTTCAGTGCCTTACTGTTTTTACAGTAAATAAGAGAAGAATCCCAGCCTTGAGAAGTTGTAGGTACTATGGCAACAAAAATAATTTTGGAGTCATCAAACAACAGTGTGTGGGAAGAAATAAGAGGAAGATGGTCTTCAGCACTAATGTTGGCACGATCTGAAAGTACAGGACACGTCAAAGAATAGATACTTTTTTTTAAAAAAAAAAAGGAAATATTAATTATAGATTAGCAAGAAAAGTTCTTTCTAACATGTACTAACTTAAGGTACTTTTGTGAAAACTTTAATAAGTCTAATATATAACCTAAGGTTTACCTTTTCCATTCTATTCAGTGGTTGCATTTTTTTTGAAAAGTATGTGTTAACATGTCAAAATGAAAGGAGTGGTTGAAAACGCTGTTCATCCACTGTTAGGACACAGGCTTTTCTCCTAAGCCTGGCCTAGGATTAATCATGCATCTGTGACTAACTTGTGAATCAAATGACGAAAAACTCCTGTGACTCGACCTGCGTAAGTGGTACTTCTCATGCTTCTTTAATCCTCACATCGCAACTCAAGTCTAGGAGTTCTTAGTACTTCTTCCTTTTTAGTCTGGGTTTGATCATTATAATGTTGCAGTCTAAGCCAATTAAGAACAGCAGCATCTTGGCTTTAATGATTCTGCCATGCCTGAGTGGACTTATCTGATAGTCAGACTGTTACTATGGCATTCTTGTTAGTTTCTTTTCTTTTTATTCAGCATCAGGATATTTCTGGAAAAAATGAGTACTTTTTGTAATTAGTGATGAGTTCTTGCCTTAGTTCCTATTGGTGTTGTTAATTAATACTAAGTACCTTCTGGTAATGAAAAATGACAAGAGGAAGCTGAAAAAGGAAGAGGAGAGAGGAAAGTGAGGAACTGATAGTTTGGTTTTTTTACATTATTTTGTTATTCAAAGCTGTTCTCTTCTTCCTATCTCAACTCTAGATAGGCAAAAGTAGATATTTTAATTTATGTATATAATATACCTGTTACAAAATATAATTTTTATATATATTCATTATCTGAGCAATTAGCCAGGGAAAAAGGAAACTAATATCCTATTGAACTAATACTAATACTCCTCTGTAGACTTAAGGTGCATAAGTTCCATTTGTTTGAAAAAATAGTCATTATAAATGTTCATCACCAAATGTCAAAGCATTGGTCTAATTCTGGAGCCATCTGAAATTTAGTGTCTTTGTCAGAAAAAAAAAAAGTCTTAATTACACGAGTAATCTGGCAAAATCATGATTTATTCAACCAGTTTAATGAAGGGAGCTGTGCTTTTTCCACAGAGTGTAGATAACTTGTCATTCAGAAAAGCTGTAGTTCCACTTAAAACATGAGAAGACTGTAACTCTAGTTTTATTAGAAGTGATTAAAAAAGTTAAGTAAGCTTCATTTTTGCTGTTCCATACCTAACTGTAATGTCTATGCCAGACCCACACACGTGCTCTGCCAAGTGCTATGGTTAGGCTTTGAGTGACACTGCTGAGCAGTCAGCAGGATTTTTCACCTCACCAGACAAACTGAGGATATTTAGGTGGGGCTTTTTTGTTGTGCTGACAGTGCGGCAGAGCAGGAACACAGGGATAAGCTCTCAGGTTTTTACTGACCCCTCCAAGTTGCTTTAGTCATGTGTTTTTTATCTCCCTTAAACATACTAAAATCCTAACCTGTGCTATGTTGAAAGTCCTATTTGTGTGATTTACTGTACTGACGGAACTGTATATCGGTGCTGGGCAAATATATATACACTAAACACCTACCATTTGGGATCTGTTCTTCTTTTGTCTTTCAGTTAATGTAGTCAGAGCCTTTATTTTCTCCTTTCAATGTCAATCTTCAGCCAAATAGTTGTCAGTCTTCTAAGATTTTTGGTTTGATGGGTTCTTTAACTTTCCCGAGTTAAAGAACTGGTTGTATAGTGGTGGTACAGTAATAATTTGGATACGCTTCATTGTTGGGAGGTTAATGGAAAATGTATCTACTATAGAAGAGAACTAAAGTTTAAGTATGATTGAATAAATAATCGTAGATACACTAATTCTTATCATTCTTTTGAGTAAAGACTCTGTTAAACAAAAGGGCTATAAAACCTTTGCATAACCACCTGAGATCTGGAAAACAGCTACCCAGCCTCCTATAGCTTGGTGATTTAGAAGGAGAAGTTGAATTGGTGCCAAGAGTACAGAGACATTGGTGTGGAGGACTACCATGTGCACTGAGCTCTGTGGCCTGCCTTCCTTTCCCCTTTAGCTTTCACTGAAAACTGTTTTGATGTCTTTGGTCTGTTCTGTAGTCTTCCTGTCTCTTCTTCCAACACCCAGCATAGTAGGGCACCACATCTTCTGGCACTGTGGGCTTCAAGGAGCCAGCAGACTAATATGGCTCAGTACTGGTACTGAAAAGCAGCTGGTCTTTGCAGCTCTTGCTGCCAGGCAGTAGAGATATTTCTGAGGATTCACATATACCCCTTTATAATGAGGCCAGATTAAATCCTTTCTTTTTTTTCTTTTGCTTTTATTTTTTTGCATTAAAAACTTATCTCTTAAAGGGGAATGATTGTAGGGACAAAGGATAACTTTCTGCACATTCTGGAAATGGGAGAAAACAAGAGAGTCCAAAACCTGAAAAAGTTAAATCCCACATAAAGTTCTGGTATTTAGTATCTTTGGGATTTGATGGCAACATTCCCTGAAGAATACAGCAATTTGTCACTGTAATGTAGCTAAATTTAAACTGTCAACCATCTTAGTGTTACTAAAACATTTTTAGATTTGTGTGCAATACTATATGTCCTGATAATGATCATGGGGAAAAGAAGTTGTAAATTCTGAAGTACAGTATTTTTTTTTTCACTTCTATTTGCTAACCAGTTAACCTTGAACCATGTATGTTACACATATTTAGTGTTGCTATGAAAATATTAAGGTATGAAACTCCAAAGAGAGAGAGTTTCACAAAACATAGTCCTGTCCTTAATTAATGTTATTTTTGCAGTAATTGCACTGAATCAGAGAATTTAGGTTCAGATTATGGCGTAAAATTGATAAGAGTAATCAGAGTACTAAAAGATTTTTGAGAAGATCGGGTTTTGAACTCGTACATATTCTGCAGTGCACATGTAATGAGATGAAGTTACATGTGTATTAAAGGGATAGATTGAAGATGAGGACTGGGGAGATGATAGGACCGGGCTGGATCTGTTAGAGATACCTATCTTTATCTGACTCTACAGCTAGGTGCTGAGTTTTGCCTTAGAAGGCTTGAAATTTGCTTGCATGCGTGTATTAATGCACTTATCCGTTCTGTGCAGCACACACACAGAAGTTCTTGGGGGGGAAAAATTACAGCAAGTGAAATGTTTACATCCCAGCGGGCACGACTGGCAGATAACTCGAGTGCAATGATATTATGTACAAATCAGATGAATGACTTGTCTCTGTCCTTCAGGGAACAACCCATCTTCAGCACCCGAGCTCACGTCTTCCAGATTGACCCGAACACCAAGAAGAACTGGGTTCCCACCAGCAAGCATGCTGTTACTGTGTCCTACTTCTATGACAGCACAAGAAATGTCTACAGGATAATCAGTTTGGATGGCTCAAAGGTGAGTTTTATTTCAGAAAACTTAACTTATTTCATTATTTTTTTCTAAAAAAAGTTTATTAGCTTTCATTAATTTTTGTATTTATTTTCTAGTCTGATGTTCTTCATGTGTCTTCTTAGATGCTTTTGACATTATCTGAGTAACAGATTACTGACATATTAGAATGGTAACATTGCTTCATTACATGTTTTAAGTGTTTATTCCAAAATGCTGTTTTCAGTGAGTTCATATTTAGTTTGATAAGTCTATTGCTGAATTTAAGTGATGACCTGTTAATATTATGAGCTGGCTAAAAAGAGATTCCTTATGAGATGCACTAAAAAATACAAAAAGGGTTACAATAAATTGTTTTCATCTCCTTATTCAGTGTTTTATCATTATTATTGGCTTCAGCATTATGAAGGACATCTGTTCAGTGCTCATAATCACTTAGTAAATCCTTTGTTACGTAATCTTCCAATTTTTACTGTAGAGAATGTGGGGATTGTCTCCTAATAAAGCTCTCCGTGTTAAGCTTTTATCAAAACTCAGTTGGTTTGAGTTTTTTTGGTTTGTGGGAGGCTTTTTTTTTTCTTTTTTCTTGAATTAGTAAGGATAACGTGTTGAGCTGCTGTTGTAAGAAAACTTGTCTAAGAAATTAATTTTGTATGGAGAAAATACTCAACTGTTCCTCAGGTTCTATCCTAAGTAGGTATAAAACTGTAACTTGACAACTTATGAGAAAACTCTGCAATAAGGACATTAAAGCTATACAGAGTGCAATCAAAAGTTGTAATCCTTTAAAGAGATCTTCAAAAAGGCAGAAGGTTCCTCTGCCTTTGTCCAAAGCTGCAACTCCTGTAAAGTACTGCTGAGCTGACTTGTCAAACAGTTGTTAATCTATTTATTTGTTCTTTTGTCTACTGCAGCATTTTCTTTATGTTCACAGTACTATTGGCAAGGTGTATTGATAATGCAGTCTTTCACTTTTGTTTACTCTCTCTGTGATTACTGCAATCCTATTAATGTTTTCATCTAAGTGATAGATGTCTGACTAAAACCTAGGATTCAAGTCATGATTAGGAAATATCCAGTTTTAGGCATCACAACACTGCTCTGAAACATACACAGGTGAATAGCAGAGAGATTTATGGAAGAATTTAAAGAAGGTTTCCAGCCTAATTCCCAGAAAATTTATTTTTAAGGCACCATCTTCTTTAACATGTCTACACATATACAATATAGTATTTACAAAGGATTAAATACAAATACAAGGCATTCTGGAGTCTAGAGTGCATCCAGGTAGTGTTTCTGCTGTATGGCATACATCTGGGTGTCAATAACACTACTGACATTTGATTGTGCAATGTCTTATATTGTTGAGTGGCCAGACAGAAGCATTGAATTTGTGAAGGAGAAAAAGCTATGCAATTTAATTCTCTCATTTTGGGTTTTGAAATAAAAAAAAAAAAGAAAACCCCACAAATTCATCTTTAGAAACAAATTTTACACAGAAATTTTTTTAAATACACTTGTTGCCAGTGACCAAAACAACCTGTTGAACCATACTGGCTTTGCAGTTGTCATCCCCCTCTTCAGAGGGAATAGACCCAACCAGTTTTTATTGTTTACAGCACCCTGTGGATTTCTACAGTGGAGAGAATGGCATGCATGTGGCTGCACAGCTACAGCAGCTCCAATTCTGAGCAGTCAGTAGGTGATGGCAGCTCACAAGTATGTTCACTTAAACTGCAGTAAGAAAAGTTTGAGAGAGATAAACTTCAGGTCTGAGTGATAATCCTATATCTGTTTCACAGCTTTTTCTTTCTTTGGGTCACTAGGTTTCAGTAGGATTCATGGATAAAATTTAACTTCTATCCTGATTGTCTGAAAGTCATTAAATCTTTTTTCTTGAAAACACAGGGCCATTTTTAAGATACGATTTAAACTCACCTCGTAGAGATGCTATCACACATTTCTGATTCCCACTTGAATTTGCTTTTGGGTGTCTTTGCTGTATTTTGAGAGAGAGGGCTTTTTTCCTTATTCCGTATCAGTGGGTCTGTGAGCCGTATTCATCTGAGATACAAGCAGGACTTTCTTTATAGAGCCTGTTTAATGCACTCTGTGTAATGTTGTTTTCTGAAGCTTCTGTTTCCTTTTAAAATACCTTGTACAAGAAGTGATGCATCTCCCTCTAACGTGACACCAGAAAGTGTTATAGGACCATGAGGTGTTCTGTTCACAGGTCATATTTTATAGTCATGTACAGAATTTGGATCCCTGTTGTCCATGGCAGGGAGATCCTGATGCAAATAGTCTGATAGAACTCAAGGCTGGTTTCTGTGACCTCTTCAGTAAATATCTTTTATGTGACCTTTTTCTCCTGCCATTCTTCAGAATCAAGAGAAATCCTGAAAAATACAATTCCTTATGCAATATGACATGACAACATCAAGCAGTTGTTGCTAAGGGTTTCAGTTCTCATTAATTATATAGTCATTTCATAGCTCCTTGGAAGAATGTCTTTTAGTACTTCTTTCTCCTAGGTGATAGAAAGAAGCCTCCATTATTTCTCCAGTAACACTGCAGATAGACACTAGGATTACTCCCAGCATCCCACTGGCTTTTCTATTCAATCTCTGGCAGTCACTGAGAAAAAGGAGATCAAGTAATGTGGTTCCTGCAGTACTAGTTAAACCCCTAATAATTTATGCTCATCTAAAACAGGAGAAGACTCTGGAAAAGAGTAGTTTTCCAGTCCCTAGGTTCCATGAGCCATGTATGTGTTACTTCTCAGTCAAGTCTCCCATCAGTAGACTGTAAAATTATCAGTATGTGGTATTTACATTTTAATGATTATTGTAAAATAAACTAGTCACGTATAAGGTGATAACCTGTTTAATGTTAAATACAGGTTTTAAGTAAGGCCTGTAAACACAGAACTTCAGTGATCTTCCTTTGAAAAAGTTAAAAAATACCGTGTGTCTTAGTTATTATTGCTATCAATATTAGCACAAGATAAAATCATATTTGACCACTGTTGTATATCTTGCAGCTGTTGGGTTTGCAGTCGGTAAAACAAACAACAAAGACACATGCCCTATTTTCTCATAGCTAAACTAATACTAAAGGAAAACATGAAAGCCATTTCATTTTTCCAACAAAATCTAAAGATAACAAAATCTGTTTTCTTCAAAAGCTAAAAGTCTGCCTGTCAGATTGACTCTGTTCTGTTTTTAAGATATTCTTGTACATTTATACTAACAACATTCTTAAAGTTGATGAAATATTTGACACTTGTTATACTGGTAACTGTACAGTGAAGTCTTGTGTAGAGGAGAGCAATTGAAGCAGTATCTATCTGAGTAGATAAGAAAGGCTTCATTATAAATTATAATTTTTAAAATAATTTTTCTTAAGCTGAAGATATGAAGGATGCATACCTAGTATTTTCCAGAAGTAGCTGACACTGACTGTATCTGTAGTATGCTCTAGCAATGCACTGTTTAAAAGCATAGTTAATTTAGCATGTGAGAGATGTAGCTTTTAATTCAGAGAAGTTTGAACGCCTGGAATTCCTTGTAAAACTGGTAAATCTACTGAAAGCACTCCTCTTTTTTTTTTTTTTTGTCTCACTGGGATCTGAATGTAGTCTTCCCTGTAAGAAATTTGCTGTCCTTGGACTAATACTGTCCACTGGAGTGGAGCCTCCTTATTTTTCGCTGCTGGAAAGTGAAGGGAAGCAGCACAGGAACTATTTATCAATAAAGTATTTTTTAGGAAGTTTTCTTCCTACCTTTCTGTGGTGGTTTAAACCACTTTT